GAAGACGCTCTCGCAAGCTGTCAGATAAAGAGTTCAGCAAATATGTGTCTTTGCAGTTCTATTGCATGTACACTGCGAAGATAAACTTAAATTTGAGGTAAGATTTATTGTTAATTCTAATAAACATTAAAATAGGGATTTAATCGAGTAATTGAGTTCTCGTATCTACTGTCTATTAAATTTTATCTTTCCAGTTCACAATTTAGCAATGTAAATGTGATCATGGGAATTTTAAGAATACACGGAGACGTAAAAGTAGTCATGGACATCGGTCTTACAATAAACCTTGAATACACGATTTCTTCTTTGATTCATTACTACCTTATGTAAATAAACAGTTAGGTCTTCACAGTACCGGCTCGGATATATGATTATGGATATCGCAAATCATAGGCTGTTTAAAACGCCACGTTTTATGGAAGAAAATACTGTTAAAACAACACTTTTTTCTTAAACTTCAATATTCCAACAAAGGGATTTAGGCGGTTAATTAAAGTAATATTCTTAATCACAAAAGGGTCCAGTCTTGTATTCCACCATATTTCAAGTTGAAGACCGCACCTTGTATTTCTTACAAATATACTTCGACTATTGTTTCAAAACTTTTTAATTTCAAGAAGACTCTACAGAACCTGGATATCGATTGCGAACATCTTAAATACAATCGTCCATCGTGTAATGTTCTTCCTCACATTAAAAATATAGTCCGACTGGACGTTATTACTGTTGACGTAAAGATTGTTAATAATGGGGACCTTAAATCAATTATCTTAAAAGGGCCATAATTTAGTAAACCCCGATCTTTAAACTGGATTCATAATTTCATAAGTATAATGAATTCTGTGGACGATTACGCCAGGCGATGGGCCAAACATGTAAAAAAAAATGATTGACACTAAAGTCCTTGTCAGAATGGATTAAATGTATCAAATGTATATTAAAATCTCGCATTAGAGAAATACCGACATCTTACGAACGAACGTAACCTAAAATGGGATCGTCTATTGTATTCAAAGTTGCATTATTGAATTCTTCAATGTTATTAAGACTTCAAAAGACAAAATTCCTGCTAGATACCTCAAAAGTACTTCTTATCGAAGTCGCTACATGACGCTTGAATGCATTTCATTGGACATTTAAACTAGAAAGAAGGTTTCGTAAAGGGAAATGAAAGGGAAATAATAAATGTCTTATTTTTAAGCAAAAAGTCCAAAGTTCTGTTTTACGGAAAAAGAGGGCGACGGGGAGATAAAAAATAAACATAAAATAATGGCCTTTATGCCTCCTATGAGAATATTTGCCTGATGGGGTAGCGAAGAATAACCAAACACAGATATGAAGTTTTTTCAATTATGTCATTTATTTGAATAACATAAAATAAAATATAAAGTAAAATATATAACAAACCATAATTGGGGATCACCTAATGAACAATGCAGGATGAAAGTGTGATCCCATTGAGACTGACCAGAAAATTACATGCAGTGAAAATATCAGAGTACATGTAGATATGCATAAAATATAACATAAATGAGTTAATACTTGGAAGAGTTTTTTGGTAGGAATTTTTTAGTGGGATCTGGTAAGCTGCAGATTTTGTGAAGGTATTGCTGAGACATGTGAAGATACTGAGGATGGGGCATATTTCTTTGAGAAGAGGTATCGAATAAAATTGCACAAATCTACCTCTGACACTGGTAATGAGGTGTACGAATGTTCCCACTGGAGGAAGAGCTGCCAACTTCTGTGTTATGCCACTCTTTAAGATGTTGAAAGTGCAGCCTGAAGAAGATGTTGGGAAGATGCACTCAGATCTCTAATAAGTGAGACTGAATGAATGTTTGTATTGGAGACAGATTTTGGGCAATGTTGGCAGCCTCCTGAAATTGAAAACCAGATGGTTTATCGGCTTAAGTATTAAGTTTGTCAAGGATATGTTTTGCTCTAATCAATATGTTATTTCTCAAGCAGCACAAAACAAGACGCCTGCCTAGTTTCATGAGAGTGGCATTTTTTGATGATGTTTTGGTTATAATGTCCAACACTGCTTGATTATCAGACATGAATAAGATTTTTTTGTTGCTTAAAAATGGGGCCCATACCTCTTGCAAGTACAATAGGAAATAGTTCTTTAATAACTATTTGGTAGTCTTCAAGATCCTTTGGCCATTTTTGAGCACACCACTTGTTTCTCAACACATCAGCGAAACCAATAGACCCTGCTGCATCAGTGAAAAGTGTCATGTCTTCCAATGTGACCCAATATTGTGAAAGAAAGATGGATTTTCCTTTAAATTTATCTATAAAAAATTTCCACATAATGATATCAGCTTGAGCTTCATTGTTTAGGTTGATGGGGTGAAAGGGGTTTGAAATTTTACAGGTAAGATTAACTAAGCAGCGAGGCTCGACCTGGTACCACAACTGAGCAAGAAAAATTATGGAGGCCTATAAGACGCTGAATTTCTCTTAAGGAGGTCTTAGATTTGCCCTGAAATTCCTTCAGTTTGTTTCTGAGCCTTTCTACATTGACTTGTGTTAAACGGCATTCCATGGAAACTGTATCAATCTCTATACCATGGATTGTAAGACAAATTGTAGGAGGAACTGTTTTATCTAGTTTGATTGTAACATTCAGCCTTGCACAGAGAAACAGAAAATTGGTTAAGTCATCTCGACAATTTTACTTATCAGGAGCGTCTACAAAGAGAAAGTAATCTAGAATGTGATACATACCCAGAGCACCAAACTTTGCATACATTATCCACTCTAAAGCAGTGCTAAAGGAATCAAACTTTGGCAGGAACTACTGGCCCCATAGGGAGACAACGGTCATAGTAAAATTTGCAATTCCAAGAAAAACCTAGGAGAATGTAGTCTGCAGGTTGAATGGGCACAATTCTAAATGTATCCTGAATGTCTGTCTTGGCCAACAAACTTCTTGTGCTAAACTTTTGAACAAGTTCAACAACTTTATAAACAGAATCGTAGCTTGCTTTTGAGTTTTCAGGAGGAATGAACATATTAACTGAGTTTGTTTTCGATAAGATAAATCATTGATAATGCAAAATTTAACGGGTTCAGATTTTGGGACAACCCCAAGTGGAGAGGATTTAAATACTGGAAAAGGTGGTAATTAAAAGGGACCGGCTAACCTAGCTTTTTGTAAGCCTTCTTGAATGAAGGATTATGGATGATGGGCACAGCTCATGTAATTTTTAGAAATATTACTAGAAGGAAAACCTTGACAACCTAAATGAAAATCCTTTGAAAAACCTTGTACTAATTTTGAGCGGGCTTGTGTGTCATAGCCGGAGAGGAAGGAATAAGGGAATATATGGAGATAGCGAACAGTATTCAAGCTCAAAAGTCCATTAAACAATATAAATTTTGGAGCAGAGCAAACATGGACCTCTAAAACATCTTAGGTGGGTTTAGGTGCCATGGAGGAGTGAGCATCCCCTGCCGACCGGTCACACCCGCCGTGTGCTCCTTGTCATCATCGGGAAATAATGGAAAAATCCGTCGACAATTCAATGTGTAAATGATGTTCTAACAATTTGTATGAAAAGCGTCAGTCAGCATTTGACTTAATGATAGATTGTATTTGCTGATGAGGTCATTGTATCGATCATAGAACTTACGAAATGATGACTCTAAACGAGACTGCTGATATTCTTGTTTCATCAACTTGTTTGTCAATAACTTACCTCGTTTTATAAATTGTTCATAAGTAGAGTATGATGTTGTTTATCGAATCAACTGAGAGATATAAACCCTGTACGCAGGTGATGAAGGTATATTGCTGCATAAGTAAGGAAAGTTGACGATTTAAAAGGTAAAGTCATCACGTTTATCATAAAGCTTGGTTGTTAGATTACCATTAACGTCCTTCTATAGTAAAATATCCAAATATGAAACAGATGTGTCAGACTCTGTGGTATCTTTTCTTTCAAGCTCACCAGGATATATCGTATCGACATAAGAATGGAAATAACCATTGTTAATTGACAATACTTCGTCGATATATCTAAATGTCGAGTTAAGGGCCATAGCAAGTGTTTTCTTCTTTTCACGTATAAGATTTTGAACAAATTCTGCTTCATATGAATACAAAAATAGGTTTACTAATAACGGGGCGCAGTTGTTACCAATGGAAATTCTAATAGATTGGTGGAAGACCTGGATTTTTTTACGTTTACTGGTGTCGGCAGATGAGGTGTTAGATTTGGATTGCTTGGTAAGTTCCTTGCAATTGAATTTTGGATGTGGTCCTTTGCATAGTTGGCAGATGTGTCGGTATTGGCAAGGGAAGGATTTGCACTTGTCCTCCCTGTTGAATGCAAAGCAGACTTTTCCCCTTTGTTGAACTGTCTGGATTTGCGAAAATTATCATTTGTGTATTGACCTTTTGAGTCTGAAAGCGCTTTGATGCGCAGATCTTCCACTGGTTTTTGCCAAGGAAGATTTGTTGATTGCCTTAATCGACGGAAATTTTCATCATAAGTACGCCAAGCCCCATTGGTTGAGAGTGTGTAGATCTCTCTAACTAAACTGCAGTGTTTTAAGAGATTGGGGGCTTCTGAAGGATGTTTTTGTTGAAAGGTGTAGGAGAAAATGAGGAAGGCATCAGTCCACTGAAAAATAGTTAAGGGGGATTTTGGCTTGTTGCCATGTTTGAAGTTGATGGAACCTGCCCCAGTGGTAACCGATACGGGGTTATCAAATTGGTAAGTTATAGAGATTTTAGATCATCGTCCAATATTATTTGTTTTGTTTTTTGACTTATCCCCGCCTTAGAAGGATACCGTCTGAGATGTTGATGGTGGGTAGATTTTTTCCCTTCACTCACCTGTTTTACCACTAAAAACATTGTCAATTACAGACGACAACAGATCGGCAGCCTGTGTTGCTGAGGATGTAGCCGATAGGAATTGATCCAAAGTGGATGTAGTTAAAGTGGCTGGAGCCAAGGTGGACGGAGCTGAAGTGGTCGGAGCTCAGATATCTGATGGATCTTGGATAGGTGCAGTCTGTTGAGATGTAGCTTTTTGTTGCATAATTATCTCCGCTGCCAGTTTCATATAGTCAACATGAACACCATGGCTGTTCAGGACAGCAGGTGAGGTAGTTTCAGTTAGTTTTTCATTTACCACAGTGCTGGATGTGCTTTTTGTTGCACTCCTCTTCCGTTTGGAAGGATGTGCTGTTTTTGGCTGATATATGCCTCTTTTTTTGTTTTGGAATTGTCCCTGTGTTAAATGAGAAAGACTTTAGAACAGACAATCACACAAATAACTACATGAACTTGTAGCTAATGTGTAAAATATTTATTTTTTTTTTTTATTTTTTCTGACAGCCCTTGTAAAAAATAGTGTTTAAATATCCCATCAAACATAAACCAACTGGTTTACAAACTTAAATGATTCAAAAGGCCCATCTAATAGGAAGATAAGCATAACAACATATTTTTGATTAACAAATAAGACGTTTTCATGGGCTGCGGGTATGGACAACAGAATTGTAGATGCTATAATGAGCCAAACTAAAGAGAAGCTGTACTTAACACCAACTTTATGCATATGTTTTCTGTTATATTGACCAGACAGATAGTGATGCTACATTAAACGCCTACATTTCTATACAAAGGACTCAAAGTAATGCATTTATACAACCCCCAAAAAACAAAACTGTTGCACTGAACAGCTTCATATAGATTACATACTGGGCATCTCTATACATATACACAGAACAACTAGTGATGCTATAAAAGCACCAATGAACCAGACTGTTATACTAAATCGTTATATGGTAATGCTATACTGAACATTTATAGGGTGATGCTATAATGCTATACTGAGCATTTATAGGGTGATGCTATATTGAACATCAAGTGAGTGAAACTGTTATACAGAACAGTTATACATCAATGCTTTACTAAACATCATTGAAGGACAAATCATGATAAGCAGAACACATGGTGTAGTAACAGGTACAGTCCCTGAAACGTTCTACTTTCCCATTTTTCCGTTCGCTCACCGTTCGTTCACCGTTCGTTCAGCGTGCGTTCACCGTTCGTTCACCGTGCGTTCACCGTTCGCTCTCCGTTCACAGTTTTGCGTTCACCGTTCACCGTGCGCTCGCGTTCACCGTTCACATAGCGTTCAGCGTTCGCTCTTCGTTCCGTTCACTTTGCGTTCACCTTGCGTTCAGCGTTCACCTATCGTTCAGTTTTCATTGCCATTCGGAACTCCCAAGTGAAAGGACTTATCTTTTTGTAGGTAAGGAGTTACAGATTTTTTAATTTAATAACTAACATATCGTGTTTGAAGAATCATTATTTCATGGGGGAAAATATCTAAGATATATATTTTTATTATTCTAACTTAGCTATTAGGTTATTTATTAAATTACTCTGGAAAATAAATGTTGTTCTGTACCTATGTAGAACGATGCTGAAATATTAAATTTAACTAAGGGCAATGTGCAAATACTTCAAGAATTGCAACATTTTGTTTTGTTAAAGACGACAAATCGTTAATGGAGATATAATTATCCAGGTCAAATAATTACGCAGCAAAATTACGAAAATATTTATTTCTAACGCGTTTTTTTATTCAGTTACTACAGAAAATATGATAGAACTAGTTCTGAGAGTTATACATAGTACTGCGGATATCCCGTTAATTTATTATCTTTGGAGCGAATTAAATTGATAGTGTGTTTAAAGGAAATATTTATTTAAAATGAAATGCACTACAGAATTTTCGCTACTATAATACATGTATGTAAAGTCTATAGTTATAGAGAAAAAAAATTCTTTCTTCACCGTAACTTTATATGTTTGCCATTCGATATGATTAATACCCCCCCCCCCTTTTCCCCTAAATCGGTTACTTAGTCAGTACTGTATTTCCAGAAAATTTTAATTAACCTGTTAAAAAAAGTTAAGGTCTTTTTTAGAACAAAAATTTCAGTCTCAAAACAAACATGCATCTAAAAAAGTCACAAAACAATAGTAGTTCACAATGTACACATGTCGGCGGTGGTATTTGAAATTGGCAGAGAGTATGTTTCAAATTCAAGTGTTAATGCCCAATATATTTTATTCATTTATTATTCAAATGTTGGTATCAAATCTAGAAATGATAAAAATAAATGTTATAACTTGTTGGAAATACTCGCACTTCGTCTTCGATGTGACGAAACTTTCACACCTGCACAGTGTCGAATGATTTTGATTGACAGGACAAGCACGTGGACTTCGTGTGAACTTGAAGCAGGAAAATAAAAACGAGTAATACTGTCAAACAGATAGATATGATTTGTTGATAAAAAAAAAGAAGTTACTTTCACTGTCTAATATATTTAGAAAAAAATTTCAGAGTTATTGTTTGATGTAAGTACAAACATTTAGTGAAGCCTGAAAGGAAGGGGGGGGGGGCTGAAACGGAATCTCTCTCTCTCTCTCTCTCTCTCTCTCTCTCTCTCTCTCTCATTTGTCTGTTTAATAAAAATTATAACAGCATATTACTTAAATATCAAGTTCTGAAAATTGAATTTATAACAAATAATATGAATATGTATCTTTGTATTATCTTGTCCGAGTATAATCACGGCCATCTACAGATACATGCAGAAGTCTGCTCAATAAATCATCATGAAAAATAGAAATGACACATAATATATTATTGTATTAAATATTTAAAATACGAGCGTATAAATGCAAAACGTCCACTGACCATTGTAATTAATTTTTTTTTTTCATTACTTTACATAAAATCGCCTTGACACGGAGATATATGAATGGGTGTTACAATCGCTTTAATTCATTCTATAAGTCAGAAGTTTTCTCTGATTTGTTATCAAATAAGAATAAACATTTTTATTTTCCAACTAAAAAAATATCTTTTATACTTCAGCGTTCGGCAACAATTGCAATGTTTTAATGCGTTAAAAATCGTATTATTAAAAACTTAATGTGCATGAATCGTCTTTCTTAGGACAATTTTGGAGAATTTATTTTATTTACTTATTTATTCATTCATTTATTGGTTTACTTATTTATTTATTTTTTTTTTTGGCACCTGACATTATAATACAATAAAATAGTTTCAATGCAAGGAATAGATCAGAGGCATTCCGAATATATCGTTCATCTTGCGTTCACCGTTCGTTCACCGTTCACTTTGCGTTCGCGTTTGCGCTCCGTTCGCGTTCTGCGTTCGCTCACCGTTCACCGTTCACACATCGTTCACCAAGTTGCGTTCAGCGTTCACACATCGTTCACTCACCGTTCGCTCTGCGTTCGTTCAGCGTTCGTTCACCGTTCGTTCAGCGTTCGCTCACCGTTCAAGTGGGAAAGTAGAACGTTTCAGGGACTGTACATATATGTTAAACAAATACATATCAATAAAATTGGCCCCCATGCAACAATTAGCCTGTATTTATAAAAAAGAAATTGCAGCAAATACAAAATGTCATATGAATGTAGAATGATTAAGCGGCTCCTAATATGTATGCATACAAATAATTCATGTTTTTTGTTATTGTAACCAAAACTTAATACTTGCCTTAATGGACAGGAATGCACAAATACTGCATTCCTGATACTTCTCCAATACTTATGCATGTGCGAAGGGTGATCCCCGTGCTTAAAACGCTTCAGAGGAGGGTTGTCGATGTGGACACCGTCCATTTGTAAGTGTGACACGTTTTGCTAAAAGTCTCTGTGCCTCCAGAAAAGGATTATTTCGTGTGACTGTGTCTTTTGTGTAAGAAGGCTGTTAATTTCCACGAGAATTGTAGTACCCTGCAGCACTCACAGATGGGTCTCTTTTAAGAAGCTGACCAATAATTACTCTATTTGAGTCCAATCCCTGAATCAGATACTCAGAAAAGGAGAGAATGTTTTTAATGATCACCTCATTCGGTAAACATCCAATGTCTTTGCCGCCTATTTGTATGAAATAGATGTCGGGAGGCCCGGTTATTCATTTAACATACGCTGAAGGCCACATGTGTGCAGCGCAGCCCCCCTTTAGCACATACAGTTATTTCATAATTTTTGCATCTAAATTAAGATCTTTAAAATCTGGATTAGAGTCCATAAACTCAGAAAGTCTACGAATGTAGGAATGACAATGAAGACAGATCTGTATTTTCACAGAATCGGGATCCACTCCTGCCATTTTATTAGTATAAGGCCACGCGGTTTACCGAGCACGTGGATGTTAAACACTGTTAAGGGAATGAAAGACACGTGGTCACATGACTCAGTTTAACTACGTCATAGTCTCCGTTTATATAAGAGCAAAACGTGTAAGCCATCAGTTCTTGTATAATTTTTTGACAATTTGTTTTTTTTAATTACCATCTTATATGAAAAAAAAATTAAAAAATCAGCATTCTTGTAAACATGAAAAAATTATGAAATAGATTGACCCACTCCTCTGTTTCCCAAACTGCGCATCCGACAAGTCGGTGACGTCATACACAATCTTTAAGTACAGCAAGATCATACTCGGTAAATACAGGGCGATATTATTATGTAAAAACAGGTCATAATCAGTATATGATGAAATATTTTGAGAAACAGGGAACACAAAAATTATTTTTGCATGGTTGATGACGGGAATCTTATGTAGGTATATCTTATTTAGCTTACGTGAGACGTCATAGTTGGTTTTTCCCGTACTCGAGAAATGTAAACATTACACGTTTTTGTCATGCTTATATCTTGTTTAAGGATGTCCTGTGCAATATTGAGGTCATCAGCTTCACCATTTAAAATTTTTAAAGTTAATCAATAATTTGAAGGACTTGCATTTCAACGTAAATTTAAAAATATTGAATGATAGAATTTGTTGCAAGTTAAGTGTTTTGTTGTTTAAGTTGTCTTAAAAAGTACGTAATTTTCCCTATCCAGATGCAGTCAGATGCTTTTTCGAATTTTAAACCCTATTCATACTCTGAAATATTTTAAAAGATACATGTCCACTTACATATTTTATATCTTTTCTTAAAAAATTCCACTATGGACAGAGTAATGGGCCCGGAAACATGGAGATTTAAAACTCCACTTAGATACTGTTGGGCATAGTATTTGTCAATCAATATCTCTCAAATAAGATAAGAAACCTAATGATATAACTGCTTTAAGATATGTGGGACATACTGAATTAGAAATATTCAACATTTGAAAAAAAAAATTGAATGACAAGTATTTTTTAGCTCGAGGTCCTTCTTCACC